CGGATTCCCGAGATCAACGTACCAGAAACGGCGTCTTGGAAGGATTCGGGATTGTAATGGTGCATCAGTTACGTTGCTTCGCGGTGTTGGAATCCCCAAAAAGGCATTCTGGCACGATCCAGAACCGTCAAGACGCAACAGTCAGTTCATCCGTGGCGTCGGAATCCCGAGAACAATGTTTTGGCATGTTCCCGGGTCTTCAAACGGATGTCTTCCAACGAGGCAGATCCCTCAATGGAACTGAACCTTCGTGGGGCCTCTGAAGAGGGGGCTTGGAGGGAGGGTGTATTCCAACATCGTTGACGGCTCTTGGGTTTACTCTGGTCCTCCTCCTCCTCCTCCTCCTTGGAGGTGCCCAGGTGCCCCTCCCTCCGCTCCTCTCGGTGAGTCTTCGGCACTGGCCGTGCACCCGGCTCCGCCCGCAAAGGCTTGCCATTCGTGCCCCACGTGTCTGGGCCTCTTGCATGGGGTCGGAGCAGAGTCAACCCGCAGAGTAAGGACGCGCGATAAGGATGCAAGGCCCTCGGACGCCCATCTCGAAGCGTTTCGAGCGGGGCGCGGCCAACGAAAGCGTCCAAGGGTGGACCCAGGAAGCGAGGATGCAAGGGTACCCTTGGGAGGGAGGCCTGTCCTTACACTGCGGGTCGACTGTAGATGGGGTCGGAGGATCACGCTGCATCGCCGATGCATCGGCGATGCGGCTCCACGCGGAGCTCGATTTGCTTCACGCCGACGCCGCCGATGCACCGCCGACGTCGACGATGCAACGCTGGTGCATCGCCGATGCATCGCCGATGGATCGGCGATGCGGCGCGATCCCCCGACGCAATCTACTCCAACCCCCTCTAGGAGGCCTCGAACGTGTGAAGTGGTGCCGAGTTTACACGCCAGTCGTAGAAAATCAGTACTTCCCGGACTCCCAGGCCCCAATCTACTTCGAGCGCCCTCCTATTTCGAGAGCCGAAAGGCTTCTGCTGTGTTTGGTTGTTCTCCGGGTGGGCCCGAGAACCGAATCTAATGTATCCGCTTTCCTACTTCCGGTGTTTACCTACTTCCGACGTGTACAGATGTGAGGGCTGGGATGTATCTCTTGGGAGGATAAGTTATGTCTCGGCGCTGGTATTCTCGCAGTCGGTAACTGGCTTCATCTAGGTTTATCTTGCTTTATTCCGCTTGATCCGGTTTAAGTTGGTTGAATCCCAAATTCAATCTGGCCTGATCTGGTGAAGTGGCCTTCTAATCGGGCTCAGTCGTCCTTGATCGTTTCACCGAGGACCTCCCAGGAGTGCCCCAATGTGCTCCGCAGTTCGAGCCGTGGGCCTCCTAGATGGGGTCCAAGTAGATGGTGTCGCAGGATCGCTCCGCATCGCCGATGCATCGGCGATGCATCTCGATGCGGAGCCCGAGTTTCCCCACGCCGACGTCGCGGATGCATCGTCGACGTCGCCGATGCACCGCCGATGCATCGGAGATACATCGGCGATCTGGTGCAACCCTCCGACCCCATCTACTCGGACCCAATCTGGAAGGCCTCGAACGTTGGACTCTGCTCGACCGCCGCCGCCGCGCCGGGGGGTGCCTCCCGCCCCCGAGCCTCAGGTGCTCCGGGAGTCCCTGCAGGCGCACTTCGGGGACAGGCTGCCCCCGGACAGCGTGGCTTCCGAGCTCAGCAGCACCAGGCGGCAGGGGGGGGAGGGGCCCTTGACCTCTCCAGGAGGGCTGAGAAGTAGCACCAGGGCCCCTCGACATCTGAATTCCTGAAGAGGCTTGAGGCAGTCCAGATAGGTTTACATATACATAGGTATATAGGTATATACTCATATATCTATAGATAGATAGATATATATAGATAGATATATAGATGGATATATAGATACATAGATATATAGACATATAGATATAGATAGATATATAGATAGATAGATATATAGATAGATATATATATATATAGATATATATATATAGATAGATATAAATATATATATAGATAGATAGACATATATATAGATAGATAGATAGATAGATAGATAGATAGATAGATCTATAGATATATATACATAGATATATAGATATATAGATATATAGATAGATATATCGATAGATATATATATATATATATATATAGAGAGATAGATAGATCTATAGATATATAGATGGACATATAGATATATGTATAGATCGATATATTGATATATAGATAATTGGGTCTGGGGAGCCATGGTTCAGCACTCTGGGAGGTCAGGGGTCCTTGATCCTCCACCTCCTGCTGGCGCCCAGGGGCACATGGAGTGAGGAAGGGGTGTAGGTGGAGGTGGAGGAGGAGGAGGAGGAGAGGAGGAGGAGGAGGAGGAGGAGGAGGAGGAGGAGAGGAGGAGAGGAGGGAGGAGGAGGAGGAGGAGGATGTGTTGTTCTTCTGCGAGCCGTCAGGTAGGACCGAACGGGGCGACATTTCCGCCCACGATGGAGGAGGAGGAGGAGGAGGAGGAAGAGGAGGAGAAGGAGGAGGAGTGAGGATTCGGGCTGAGCGCTGACAGCCCCCCCAGGTAGTACCGGCTAGCCTCAGCAGGTCCCCCGAGCAGTCTAGAGCGGTCTCTACGCCCTGCGCCGGGCTTGAAGCGCTCGTCTCCGCCTCCGCCTCCTCCTCCTCCTCCTCCTCCTCCTCCTCCTCCTCCTCCTCCTCCCGTTCGTCGTCGCCCCTCCTCCTCCTCTTTTTTCCTCCTCCTCCTCCCTCTCCTCCTCCTCCTCCTCCTCCCTCCTCCTCCTCCTCCTCCTCCCCTCCTCCTCCTCCTCCTCCTCCTCCTCCTCCTCTCTTCCTCCTCATCCTCCTTCCCTCCCCCCTTCCTTGGGGTGGTTGCCATCCTGCTCCCCGGCGTCGCTGTCCGTGACCCCGCCCGCCCCCGCGGGCGTGCGGGGAGGTGCAGCCAAGGCAGCCACGAGGCGCGAGGGCGGGGCGACGTCGGCTCGCCCGCCCCTCGCGCTGCCGCAGCGCATGCCCCCCCGAAGCCTGGGCTCTTGCCCGCCCTGCCCGCCCCGTGAAGCGCCTCCCTTCCCTCCTCCCTGCGTCTCGCCCCGCCTCCCGCCCTGCCCTCCCGCCCTGCCCTGCCCTCCGCTGCCTCCCGCTTTTCGTCGCCCGCAGCCTCCCGCCCTGCCCGCCCTGAGCACGCCCCTCCTCGCTCCTCGTGGGCCGGGCACGTCCCCCTGCAGGAGGAGTGCTCCAAAGTGCTCAGGACATGGTCTGGGGACAACGTGTCGTGATCGCCTGCCTACGTTCGAGCATGTTGCGCTCTCCTGCTGCTCCGCGCCCTCGGCCTCGCCGTCTCGCGCCTCGGCGGCGGCGCTCCGCACGTGCTCGCGGCCGTTCGGCGGGCTCGCCCTCGCCGGGCCCCGGGAGCGTCATGCCGAGTCGAGGTCTCCGGCCATTTACAAACTGTGTCGTTTGTCTTCCGCAATCCGCCTGTAGGAGGACACGCCCGACCTGACGCTTCTCCCCTCCTTCACGCATGGCAGCGCGCTCGCTCCTCCCCCGGGCCGCGGTCCGTGGCCCGAGCTGGGCTTTCGCCCATCGCAGGGCGGCGCTCGTGGTGCTCCCGGTTTGCGCGGCGGCCTCTCGAGTCGCGCGGCCGTCGAGGCCGAGCCGGGCCAGGTGATGGAGTCGCGCTCCTTCGTTTCCATCCCCCTAATAAAAAAATAATGTGTGGCCCCAGACATGCAGCGTCACACAAAAGCTGGAACGGAGTTGTTGTTCGTCGTGTCTGGCCCCGGTGGTCCCTTTTCCAGGCCTTGGGACCCTCAAGCCGTGCTGGAGGGGTCGGGACTTTGGGGCCGGCCCCCGTCAACCCTGGCCGGTCCACAGGGGCAAGGGTCGGGATTTCAGGGGGCCCCGTGTGGAAACGTTCAAGACATTACATGCCCGGGCCCCAGACCTCATTTGTCTCGGGCGGATGGTAATGGGGGGTTGACCCAAGTAGGGGGTGAAGCAAGGGTCGGGATTTCAGGGGGCCCCGTGTGGAAACGTTCAAGACATTACATGCCTGGGCCCCAGACCTCATTTGTCTCGGGCGGATGGTAATGGGGGGTTGACCCAAGTAGGGGGTGAAGAGAGAGGCCCTAAAGGGGCCCTTGGGGGCCCTTTATGGGCGCCGGCTGGTTCCCAAAGGGGCCCCGAAAGAACCTCTCGAGGGCTCATTTCTTCACCCCCAATGTGGGCCACCGCCCGTTACCACCCGCCTGACTGTCTGCGCCATCCCCTCTCCGAAAAACCGAGGACGGCACGATGTTTCCAAGGGGTCCGATCGTGCACACCGCGCTGTGCACGACGAGGGCTTTTCTGCGGGGAAATCTTGTTGTGGAGGCTCTTCTTGGTGAGGTGCGCAGCCCGATGCTACGTCTACGCCCCGCGTCCCGCGCCCTCCCCAGCACGGGGTGGCCTCGGGAGGCCGCCCCCCCCTCGCGTTGCCCACCGTGATAGATGGGCGTCTGTCGTCAGCGCCAGGCTTCCTCGGCCCCCAGGAGTGTGTGCGGGCTCCATCTCTCCCTTCTTCTGCTCCTGCCCTTGCCTGCTTTCGCTCCCTCCCTCTCTCTCTCTCATTCTCCCTCGCTTCCCCCCTTCTGGGGAGCAAGCCTCGAGCCTCACCTCCGCACAGGCTCGAGGTCGTCGTTCGTTTCGCCTCGCTGCTGGTCGAGACAGCGCCGCGCAGAGAGGGGGGGGGGGAGGCGGGGCGGGGCAAGACTGCGCAGGGAGAGGGGGGGGGGAGGCGGGGCGGGGCGGGCAGAGCCGGGGAGGCGGAGGCACCGTGGCGGTGGTCATTGCTCCTCCTCCTCCCCCCCTCCTCCTCCTGCTGCTGCTCCGCCTCCTGCTGCTCCTCCTCCTGCTGGTTCTCCTCCTCCTCCTTCTCCTCCTCCTCCTCCCTCCTCCTCCTCCTCCTCCTCCTCCTCCTCCTCCCCTCCCCCTCCTCCTCCTCCTCCTCCTCCTCCTCCGCCTCCTCCTCCTCCCCCTCCTCCTCCTCCTGCCCTTCCCGCTCCCCCTCCCCCTCCCCCATTGCACAGGGAAGCAAAGTCGCGAGCAGAGCAACACGCACCACGACCACGAAGCTGGCGACGACGACGACGGAGACGAGGCGCGCAGACGATCTTCGCCGACGCATAGCTTTGGGCAAGGGCCCAGCTTGCAGGTCCGGTTAAACAGCACACCGTCGACGGGTGCTGGAGCGCCTTCTGAGCACAGGGCCCCCTAGAGCATCAGCCCGGCAAGTCGGGTTTGCACCCTCATGCCTTGCTGGACTCTGGGCGTCTTTCGGCACTGCCACTGCCGCCGCTGCCCCCATCGCAGAGGGGAGGCGGGTGGAGAGAGAGGGGATGGGCTGACCTGTGGCGGGCCAACACGCTGACGTGGGTCCGCCGGGGCCCAATGTCACGAGCCTGCGCCCGACCACGAAGCAGCTCCGAGACCGGCTTTGGTGAAGTGCTGCAAAAAAACCGAAGGATTGCAAAAAAAAACCTGGATTGCAAACAAAACCCTGGAGGTTTTTTTGCAATCCTTCGGGTTGTTTTGCAATCCTGGGTTTTTTTGCAATTCTTGGGTTTTTTTGCAATCCTTCGTTGGGTTTTTTTGTAATCCTTCGTTCGAGTGCGGGGCCAGCCCTATGCACAGCCCCCACGCCCGGCGCGGCCGAGCGGGGGGGGGCAGGGGGCGAGGAGGGGGGCAGGGGATCCAGGGGACGCCCCTTGGTGCGGTTGCGAAGCGGAGGGTGGGCGGGGCCCGGAGAGGCGATGGCCGTCGGCTGGCCGCCGGCAAGAGAAGCCTTATCGGAGGGGGGCCACGGAACGCCCGCGCCCGGAGGGGTGCAGGAGCTGCCGTGCGGAGGGCCCCCTGCCCGACCGGGCGGCGTCCTCCCGCGTCGCGGGGGCCAGGAGGTCGTGGTGGACTGCGCCTTGTTGACTTCAAAGAGGGGGGCTCCAGCGAAAAGGGGGCTGTGCAATGGTAGGGGAAAGGAGACATGGCATAAGCATACACAAAAACTCGGAGGTCCGCGCGGGTTTCTCGGATCGGCGCTGGACCCCCCTCCCTGGCGCGCCGAGCGCGCCAGGGGCGGCGCCGGAGGCGCCGCCAGGGGAGTCCAGCGCCGATCCGAGAAATCCGCGCGGACCTCCGAGTTTTTATGTTTATGCAATTTTTTGCTCCCCTAGACAGATTTGGGGCAGTTGTGTTGCACGTGTACTGCGACAGAGAGTAGGTCAACCCGCATGGTGAGGATGGGCAGCCCTGCCAAGGGGTTACCCTTGCATCCTTGTCTCCTCGGCCATCCTTGGCCGCTTTCGTTGGCCAACCTCGTTTGAAAAACGCTAACATGCCCCCCCACGGCCCTTGCATCCTTACCGCGCATCCTTCTGATACGGGCCGACTGTAGTATCGCATTGTATTGCAACTCGTGGAGCGCACGCCAAATTCCAGCAAACCACTTGCGCCTGGGATTGCACCAAATCTGTCGCACCATTTTCGTTTAGTTGGACCCGTTTTGGCTGAATCAGAAAGTTTGGACGCCCGAAGTGGTTACGGAAATAGTGGGTACGATGCCCAGCAGCAGATGTTATCCAACAACGACAGCGGTTGATGTCGGGCAGCCGGCCTTCTGTCTCACACGGACAGCGTCCGCGGCGACTTCGACAGCGAGGCCTGTTTCAAATGCACAGGAATTGCTGTCGGTCTTTTTACCCATTCTTCCCGTACCCGGGAACTGCTGTCTGTCTTTGTTACCCTTTGTTTCACATGTCCAGGTCGATCGTCCCGCGAGGGCGTCGGCCGAGGCGGAGTCACGAGCACAGTGTTCCAAGCTGGTGAGGCTTCGGACTGCGCACAGCTACCCCCCTCCAAAAGGTAGCACCCGCTGGCCTCAACAGGCCCCCCGAGTAGTCCAGGGGGGATCTCGCAAGACCCTGACGCCGCTCCCGTCGGCGGCGTTGCGTTCCCCAGGGCTGGGGTGGTGAGACCTCCCCTGGCTATACCCGGGGGGCCTGTTGCAGCCAGCGGGGATTGCCGTAGGGGGGCTGTCTGTTCTCGGCCCGACAGGCCGCGACGGAGTGACGGGCACGGTGTTCCAAACGTTTTATCGTCTGTCCGTTGCCTTATCACGTTCGCGTTGCATCTCGATGAGCGACAGGTGAGCGACGTGGTTCGATGAAGGGGTCGGCTGCTCTGACGGTCGCGCGTAAGCTGCCGCCGAAGGTCGGGCGTAAGCGCCATCGCTTCCGCGCGACATGAATCGTCAGCGGTCCGCGGCTCATGCAATCCAGCGCGCACGGCCGTCGCGTATCTCGTCTAAGACACTATTCTGCGTCGCTCAGGTGGTTTGCGGACTTCCAGCGCGATGTGGAAATCGACGAGGAGACCGGCGAAGAGATGGGAGCACGGAAGGCGATGGCCGAGTCTTTATCATGTGAAAGTGTTGTTATGTTTACGCAGGTTTCTCTTCCCATCCAAGTTAGCCACTGCATTCTTTCCTGCGTGTGCTTCTGCTCACAGTTTCGAGCCCCACTGTCTTCTTTGTCTTTGGCAGTTTACGGACACGTACAGACTGGATGCATTCGACGCGTCGCATCCAGGCACGGCTCGCATGGTGCGGCCCACAGAAGGTCAGGTGTGCATTGTGATTTCGGTCTCCCCTTCGACGGTGGGGCCGTTCCCGGTGTGCCCGCAGCGTGATGATGTCGGGGCACACCCCTCAAAGAGTTGGGAGCCCAAGAGAGTTTTGTTCATTCCTTGGCGATAACGGCGGTGACCAGCGCCGTCAGGGATTTCTCAAGAATGGCCAGCTGAGTCCTCGAGGGCACCATCGCAACTCGTGACGTGACCAGGGGGGGTGGGCCCATGACATTCCAGGATGGCTAAAACATTGCACCATAACCTTGACATCTGAATCCCTGTTGAGGCTTTTGCGGCAATCCAGATGGATTATATAGGTCTGCAGGGCCATGCTTTAGCACTCTGGAAGGTCAGGGGGGAAGGGGAGGGGCTGGGGCTGGTCGCGGGCGTTGTCGCGAATGGACGGACATTCAGAGCCCCGAATCATCAGGGGTAACTCGGGTCAGGGTTAACTCGGGTTCGTTTTTCGGGAATCCGAACCCGAGTTACCCCGGACCCGAGTTACCCCGGATAGCTCGGGCGTCCAGAGCCCCACATCATCCGGGGTAACTCGGGTCAGGGCTAACTCGGGTTCCTCTTTCGGGAATCCAAACCCGAGTTACCCCGGACCCGAGTTACCCCGGATAACTCGGGCGCCCAAGACATGGGGAGTTCTCGCGTGTGTGGGCGCGCTCTCGGACACACCCGGCCGCTCCACCTCGTTCGCGATGCGCGGGCTCCTGGAGGTCTGCCCCGACGCGCCCGCGCCGTGGAGAGAGGTCAGGTCGGCCGCTTCGGGCCTCCGCGGGGGCCCTCCACACGGGCCCCGGCACCGTCGAGAACGACGCAGGTCAACGGCACCGTAACGGGTACTTACTAACGGGTACTTTGAATGTTTGCCGAAAGTTGCCACTTGAGGGCCTTTTTCTTGCATTGCAGCTTCGCCCACATCGGGAAGGGCTGGGTTCGCTGGGTCACTGGCCAAAGTACCCGTTGGTGGAGTCCCCGTTTGAGGGGCGCTGAGCAGGATGAAAAGCAGGTCCCGGGGAAGGCACGGCTCATTTCGATTCCTCCGATTCGATTCGATTCGATTTCGATGGCTTCCGATTTCGACCCGGCTCGACTTGAGATTCCGATCTGGGTTCATTTATTATTGAAGGCATTTTAGCCTGCAGATTTCCGCCGATTCAAAATCTCCCAGCTCGGCTGCCGGTTTCCCACAATCCGATTCATTTCGATCGCCAATCCGGCTTATCGATTCGATTATGTGCTCGCCTGAGGGAATGGATCGGGACTTTGGGGGTCCGCGTCTGGAACAAATCAGGACGTCGCATGTCTGGGTTGAATTGGGATTCGCGAGCACCGCCACGCTGACCAACCTACGCTTCGCCGACGACGTGCTCCTTACCAGCCAAACTCCCGTGCCTGACAGCGATGCTTGACGACATTGTGCGCGCGACGAGGCTACACGGGCTCGAACTACACCCGAGCAAAACCAAAATACTGAGCAACCAGACGAGAAGGACCAGAAGGGCGAGCTCACGCACAGCACGTTTCCAAGACATGGATGTAGAAATCGTTCCATACGAGGGCAGTATCAAATACCTCGGCCAATTGATCAGCTTCCACGAACCGGTGGACACGGAAATCCACCACCGCACTCGAGCTGCATGGGCATCATTCACGTCTCGCAAGCAGGAGCTGACCAGCAAACACTACCCACTGGCTCACCGACTCCGAACAACTTTGTAGCACCAACAGCGTTACTCGGAGCAGAGAGACGTGGACCCTCACGGAGCCTTCTATGGCAGCATCTACGACGGACACAACGACGCATGCTTCGCATGATCATCAGAACGCTACGGAGACGCACAACGAAAGAAGCCGGCCCTCACAGCGGCCAGGGACCTAATCTCGACGGCGCGAACAACGAAGCACAAGACCACGATGACCGCACCAACAGCATTAGCGACGACGCAGACAGCAACCCATCACAGCGTGATGCACCTGACACGCCTGACAAGCACGGCGAAGATGGCGAAGACAGCACCACCGCAGACGGAATGGAACCATGGGTCGACTACATCCGGCGAGCGACACGACGCGCAGAGCACCTCATGAAGCTCCACCACATTGACAACTGGGAGACGCTGCACAAACGGAAAGTATGGCGCATGGCTTCGCGAGTCGCAAACCACGACTGGACGAGGTGGACATGGCGAGTGCTGCGCTGGCACCCAGTCCTCAACCCGCGCCAGCGGGGACACAGGCAGCACGGTGGCCAAAACAAGCGTTGGGACGACGAAAACACCACTTACTTGCGTCAACGCAGACCAGACCTCCACCGACCGCCCACGCAAGCCCATTCGAAAGGACAACCGAACGACATCACATGGACGCAAACAGCCCAAGACACCGAAGCATGGACAGCGTTCGAGCACCACTTCACCGACCTCACGTCGACCAGCACCCAGGACTCAGACCGATGACGTAAAATCTCTGCGAACGTCGAGACGTCTCGCCCAACCCGCGCCGACACCGACACCAAGGACTTTCTTTTCCTCCTCCTCCCCCTCTCCTCCTAACTTTTTACATGTCTCGCATTGCATGAATCCAGACACTTCAGAGCCTAGAGGCCATGGCCTCACCCACCTGGTCTGTTCTAGGCCCGGACGCTGTCCGCAACGGTCGTCGCATCGCATCGCATCACATCGCATCGCACGTCTGGGTTTAAGTCGGGCGTGTCCCTCTACAGGAGGAATCTGCAAACATAGGTTTAACCATAATGCTGGGCCGATTTTGTCTTTAAGCATTTTTGACATTTTGGGAATGTTGTTGGACAATTTTCGATTTGTCGTCCAAAACCCGCCTGTAGGGGGACATGCCCAACCTAAGTCCGGGTGGGCCACTTCCCTACACGGCAGGGCTGTTCCTCCCAAGTCGTGTTCCGACCGTCCTGGTGCCCGTGTCGAGGGCCCCCGCGGAGGCTGAAGATTGGCCAGAACGGGCTGCCCCAATTTCTTCGGAGCCTCGGATCTCTGGGTCGTTGTTTTGGCACAAGCTCCACGGCTCCTGGCGGCCTCCCGTCGGGCCCTCTCGCTTCCCGGCGGGCCCCTGCGGCATGCGGGCAGCCGAGCGCCAGCTGCCAGCGCTCGACTCGCCATGGGGGAGAGCTCGTGGCTCGGCCTCGGGGAGACCTACCGGGCCTTCTGGGAGATGATCATCCTCCGAGGGCGGAGCGCATGCAGTTCCACCGCCTCCCTTGTTGGATTCTAGGCCTCCCAGATGTGGTCGGAGCAGATGAGGTCGGAGGTTCCAGCCGCATCGCCGATGCATCGCCGATGCGGCTCGATGTGCAGCCCGCTTTGCTTCACGTCAACGTCGCCGATGCATCGCTGGTGCATCGCCGATTCATCGCCGATGCATCGCCGATGTATCGCCGATGTGTCGGCGATGCGGCGCGATCCTCCGACCCCCATTTACTCCGACCCCATCTAGGAGGCCTCTATGGACACCAGAGTTTTCTGGCCGCGATCGACGAGATCGGCCGCTACCGATTATGCTTCAAATTCCGGCAATTCATTGATCGCGACCGATTTGCTTCAACACCGGACGTGACCGATTCCAAGTACCGATCGGTCGCTACCGATCGCGACCAGAAAATTCCTGTATCCAATGATCTGCATGGGGGTGGGGGCCCGAACAGAGCGGTACGGTAGGTTCGCGTCGTGTCGGCCGGCGGCGACCCCGCCACTGGAGTTCAACGTTGGACGCCGCTGGCGACCCAGAATCGGTCGAGGTTGAACGATCTGTTGTTTCGGATAGGGCCCAGAGTGCAATGCTCAACGATCCCTGCCGTGCCGGGAACCACCACCGGGGTCAACCCGGCGAGAACCCGCGATGTCCAATGCTGGGGGGCTCCCCGTGGGCGGTGGGCGTGCACCGTGAGCTTCGGCCTCGGGCATCCGCCCCCCGCGGGACGAGTACGACTTGGCGGACTTCGGCCCGGAGCGCTTCCGGCTCAAGGGCCAGAGCTACGAGCGGAGGGATCTGCAGCTGCAGAACTGGCAGTGCTTCGGGTCGTCACCAGACCCCCCACACACACTGGTTGGTGGGACACCCTAGCTCTGGAGTAGACCCACTAAAAGAAATGGCTACTCAACATATGGAAACATATGCGGCACCGCGTGTTAATTTACCGCATCAAGCGGCAGCGTTGAAAAACGATCAGTAGCAGCCCCAGCGGCACACCCGTGAAGAAGGTGCCCGTGAAAACGGCGCTGGGTGGAGAACGCCGTGCCCCCCCGCCCCCGCTGGGAAAACTCCCCAGAACGACAATCAACAGAAACCCGCAACGGCCTAAGCGCCGCAGTGGCCGGCACCCACGGAGCCCGTCCAACAACCACGCAGAGAGAGGTTTTTTTACTATGTTTCCACTCATCACCGAGTCGTTGCCTCAATCCGCAGTGGTGCCGTAGGGGTGATCCTAGGGGCAACCGCCGCGACCCGTCGACCTTTGCGGTCCCTGCCGATGGCCACTCCAAAGAGCCTGGCAGCGGCAGCGGGTGGCGGTGCGAAGTCATGCCTCTACCGTCGTGTCGATTGGCACTCTTATGATGCCGCTTTGTAAAGCCGCTCATTGGCGACAGGTCACTCTTACAGGTCATCAGAAGACGACGCATGGTGCCGCTTAGTGCCTACTAGGTTTGCCTCGGCCGCGAGGACGGCCGACCCGGTGACCCCGAGCAGCGTGTCCAGGGACAGCTGCAGGAGGGTGTAGGCTTCGTCACCGTCACCAGACCCCCAGACCCCGTCGCGTCACGAAGCAATCACGACGGGGGGTCTTTCGCTGCTTTCGGCCTCTCGGGGGTCTACCCTTACCGTGCCTCGGGACCGTCAAAAACGATGCCCATTCGGGCTGAGGAACTGGCCCTGGGAATGGGTCGAGACCTCCTTCGGGGTCGACGCTGTGAGCAAGTCGTGAGGGGCTGCGCACGAACAGCCCCCCCAGGCAGGCCCAGCCGGCCTCAGCGTGCTCTCGGGGAACCCCCGCCTGGCCTCAACGGGCCCCCCGAGTAGTCATGCGGCGGTCTCGACACCCCGGCGCCGCCTCCGGCGGCGCCCCTGGGGCGCTTCGCGCCCCAGGTGTTGAGGTGTTGAGACCGCCCGGGTCCGCTCGGGGGCGCCTAGGTTCGGGATGGTAACGTGGGGTGGCCCAGATGAGGGGTGCAGAGAAGGGCCCCCAACAGGGGCCCTTCTGGGGGCCCCTCGTGGAGCCCACAGGGGCCCACAAGGGGCCCTCCGGGGCCCCTTCATGGAGGGTCCTTCTCTTCGCTTCCCATGTGGCTCAGACCTCCCCCAGCAGCACCCGCCGGGGCTGCCTGGGGTTATGTCGGGCGTGTCCCCCTACAGAGGGATTTTCGATGAAAAATAATAAATACCCCAACAATGCCCCAAAAAGGTCACAAGATACCCCAAAAATAGTCACCAGCTTATTTTGGGACCATTTTGGGACTATGTGTGGGGCCATTTTTCGTTTCTCGTCGAAAATCCCCCTGTAGGGGGACAGGCCTGACTTAAGCCTGGGGGGCTGCCTGTAGGGGGCTGCCTGCAGGGGGCAAAACACAGACACAATTCATCGTCGATTTTCCAGGAAATATTTGAAAATATGGGCAGTGGGGGGGGGGGGAAGACAGACACCCAGAAAATATAGGAAAATGTTGCGGATCCTTGTATTTGTGTGTATATATATGTGTGTGTGTGTATATATATATATATGTGTGTGTGTGTGTGTTTATTTGTGTGTCCCAGGGCACCTTCACTGGGGGGCTGCCGGGCCTGCCCCGGGGGGGCTGCCCGTGCGCCGCAGCAGCCGAAGCGCTGCCCGTGCGCAGAACGACCGGGGCCTGCTGCTCGAGTGCAGCCACTTCGTGCCGCGCCTGCCCGGGGCTGAGGACCCCAGGCCTCCCAGGCTTCGGGGGCGGCAAGGAGGGGGTGAGGACTAGGGGAGGAGGAGGAGGAGGAGGAGGAGGAGGAGGAGGGGAGGAGGAAGGAGGAGGAGGAGGGGGGAGGAGGAGGAGGGAGGAGGAGGAGGAGGAGGAGGAGAGGAGGAGGAGAGGAGGAGGAGGAGGAGGGGGGGGTGGATATCATGGCGGGGGCCATGTCCCCCTGGGGTGGTGACTAGGGTTAAGTCGGGCCTGTCCCCCTGCAGGGGGATTTTCCGCGAACAAAAAAAAACCAGAAATAATACAAACATAGTCCAAAAATAGTCTGGGGACTATTTTTGTATTATTGTTTGACCTTTTGGTGTCACTTTTGGGGTATTCTTTATTTTTCGTCGAAAATCCCCCTGCAGGGGGGCACGCCCGACATAAGACTAAGGGGTGGTGGATACCATGGCGGGGGCCACGATATTTCCCAGATCTCATGGCGCCTCTGCTTCTGTCATTGCGTCCCTGGCCCCCCCCCCGCTGGGCCGCGCACATGCCGCCGGTCATGATTTGCACCCCCCCTCCTCTTGGACATCCCCCTTCCTGGCCGCTCCCGAAGGCGGGGTCCGAGGCGGCGGGATGGGAGGGTCGGCGACGCATCGGCGGTGCATCGGCGCTGCGGCGCTGCGGAGCCCGACGTTCTCCACGCCGTCGTCGGCGAGGCGTCGCCGATGCATCGGCCGGGCGGCGCGGTCCTCCGACCCCGTCTGCTCTGAACCCCGTCTGGGAGGCCTCTGGAGGAGAAGCCCCGGCCGTGCGTGATATACCTGCACGGGAACTCCTCGTCCCGCCTGGAGGCTCAAGTCGGGCGTGTCCCTCCACAGCTGGAAAACAAGCAAACAAACCGTAGGAGGACGATTTTTCTACTAGCTTCGACTGTTTTTCATTACTATGCTTGCATACGTTTTGGCTACTTTTGATTTTTCGCCCAAAATCTGCCTGTAGGAGGCCATGCCGGACCAAACTGGAGGCCTGCGACGTGTTGCCGTTCCTGCTGCCGCGGGGCCTCACGCTCTTCTGCCTGGACCTCGCGGGCTCCGGGCGCTCCCAGGGCGACTACATCTCGCTTGGCTACTTCTGATGGGCCAATTTTCCCAAATCGCTACCATAGGTAGGATGGGGGACAAGGGAGGATGGGGAGGTCCTCCTCCTCCTCCTCCTCCTCCTCCTCCTCCTCCTCCTCACTCTGCTGCCTGTGGTGGTGGTGGTGGGGAATCGGCCCATCAACTTCGAGCAGCGCGACGTGCTCGCGGCCGTGGAGTACCTCCGCGGGCAGGGCTCGGTGAGCGCGGTGGGCCTGTGGGGCAGGTCCATGGGCGCCGTGACGGCGGTGCTGAGGGCCGCGGAAGACCCGGACATCTCCAGGCCTCCCAGCTGGGGTCGGAGCAGACGGGGTCTCGGAGGATCGCGCCGCATCGCAGATGCACTGCCGACGCGGCTCGACGTGGGGCCCCGAGTCTCTTCACGTCGACGTCGCCGGTGCATCGCCGACGTCGACGATGCATCGCTGGTGCATCACTGATGCATCGGCGATGCATCGGCGATGCGGCGGGATCCTCCGACCCCATCTGCTCGGGCCCCATCTCGGGGGCCTCTGACATCGGAGCCTGCGTCATGGACTCCGCCTTCAGCAGCTTCCCGGCGGTCGCCGACGAGCTCATCGGCAGCGGGGCGATCCCCATACCGGCCTTCGTCCTCCGACTCGCGTTCCGCGTCATCCACAGCGAGGTGCGGGAGCGCGCGGGCTTCGACATGTACGACCTGCAGCCGGTCGAGAGGGCCCCGGGGGCGGTCGCTCCAGCGCTCTTCGCGACCGCGGAGGACGACACGCTGGTGCCGCCCCACCACTCGAGGGCCCTGCACGACGCGTGGGGCGGCGACTGCGAGCTCGTCACCTTCGGGGGCGGGCACGACGGGCAGCGGCCGCACTGGTTCCTGGAGCACGCGGCGGCCTTCCTGGAGGAGCACCTGGCCGAGGGCCCCGCTGTGGGAGGCGCTCGGCCTGAAAAGGCCACCCGGCGGGGCCCCGCGCAGGCAGCGAGAGCGAGGGGCCCCAGCAGCGAGGTGTCCCAGGCATCGGTGAGGGGATCGACAAACAGGATCGATTTGCCCCCCCACCCCCACCCCCACCCCCACCCCCACATGCCTTTTTCCTCGACGAATCCACACACACAGGACGTCGCATGCCTCATGGATTCGAGGAGAAAAGGCCATGGTGGGGCACACGAACTCTGTTGCCGCTCCCCCTCCTCGCAGGCAGCACCTCCCGGCGGCGGCGGCGGCGGCGCAGGCGGCGCCACGGCAGGGCTCGCGGCCGAGCTGGCCGCCATGGGATTCGAGCCCGACTTGGTGAGCGAGGCCGCCAAGCGGCACTCGAGCGTCCCGGCGGCGGTGGACTGGATCCTGGAGCTGTCCACGGAGGCGCAAGAGTCGATGAGGAGAGACACCGGCAGAAGCGAAATTTTTTTTGGCGCTCCGCGCAGAGTTCTTCGATCGGCGCCAGGGCCCCCCTGGCGGCGCCTCCGGCGCCGCCCCTGGCGAGCTCCGCGCGCCAGGGAAGGGGGGTAGCGCCAAAAGTTGTTGTTTATGCCTTTCGTCCTTCTTCCAACACCGCTACCCGTGCCTCGCTTCCGCCCTGTGGGGCATCCTGGGAGGCCCTCGTCGCCACCGCGGGGGTCGCTTCGAAATGCTGCTCGGAACGCATCCCGGGAGAGGTCTGAGGGGGGGGAGCGGTAGCTCGGGCGGGTGGAAATGTGCAATGGGGGGTGACCTAAATGGGGGGTGAAGACAAGGGCCTGCAAGGGGCCCTTCAGGGCCTCTTTTTGGAGCCAATAGGATAGGAGCTGAAAAGGGCCTCTTTAGGGCCTGGGAATTCAACCTTGAACGATCCGGGCCGCGATCGATCCAAGGTTGAGGGATCGACGCGGCGTCAAAAATCTCCGCGCGCCGACGCCTTCCGAACCTACTGTAGCTCACCGAGCGCTTTCCATTACGCGCAAAGTGCCTACTCGCAAACGTCTGCAAAATATGTGCTTGCCTCGATGTAATGGATCGTAAATCCCCCGCGGCGGATCCTGGCCATTTGCAAGTACAGTCAACGCACTTAGTAAGGACGCGCGCCTTCATCTAGGGTGCCCTTGTGACCTTGCCTCTGCGGCTCGTCCTCTTCCATCTTCACTGATCGCCCGCTGCCCCAAAAATCCCAACTCTTGCCTTCAAAAGGGTCTTGCGCCCTCACCAGCCGTCGTAAGTACACGTTTTGATTGTACTTACTTTGCGAGTCGTGGAGCGCGCTGGTCTAACAGGTTATATTTTGCTTTCCTTCGGATGCAACTCCAGGGAGGTCAAATTCTGACTTTGCCATGGTTCTGGCCTACAACTTACCCCGTTCAATCCCGCTTAATCCCGGCTGGATCCCGCTGGATCCCGTTGAACCCGCGGTCTGATCCTGCGTAGCAGCCCCCGAATGCAGCTCATTTCTCCTTGATCCTTGCAACGAAGACCTCCCACTCGCTGCCTCCTAACCTAGTAGCGTTGACTTGTGCTCCGGCGGCGAGCCGGGGGGGGGGAGTGAGAAGGGGCGGGCCTTCTCAGAAGATTCGGAAGTCCCCCGGCCTCCTGAGAAGTTGCGTTAAGCTGTCCCCGACGACAGAGACAGTGAAAAGACTTCTGAGAAGGCGGGAGGGCTTCCGAGGAGCCCCGCCTCTGATGGCCTTGCTTTCCACCACCACCACCATAAGTTGGAGGGGGGAAGGAGGTGGAGGACGAGGAGGAGGAGGAAAATGAGGACGAGGAGGAGGAGGAGGAAGAGGAGGAAGAGGAGGAGGAGCAGGACCCCCTCCCCCTCCAACTGATGGTGGTGGTGGTGGTGAAACACAGGCCCATCAGCCGC